CGCTCGTCTTTGCGGAGAGCAAAATTCTCGAGACGAGGCAAATAGAACAAAAGCGTGTCTTGCGAGACGGCGGGAAAAAAGAGGGTGACGACCTGAGAACTCTATCGGCGAGCCAGGCAGGAGAGAGGGATATTCCAGACGAGAACACACAAATATGAGGAGGGTAGGAAGTCTCTTCTTCCTCATATAATAAAAACCCTTTCGCAAAAGCCCCAGACAAGATACACACGCTCTCTCACTTCCTCGAGACCTTGGGACAGTATTCAGATGAATTGAAAACACATATTTCAACTTTTCCCTGTTTTTTTTTCTCCCTCTCTCTCCCAAAACCTCACACAGAGATTTTTCGTATGGGAATATCAGCAAACACGCCATGCAGAACTTTTCAAAACATCATCAATTTCGAGAAAGTCGATGTTGAATCGCGCGAAGGTTGATGGAAAACAATAACAAACAGCAGAAAATATGGCAAATATGCTGGAATTCCCTTGCTTTGGAACAACTCTTGATTTGCGGACAGTTGTGCCAATACAACGCTGATTGGAAAGTGTGTGCAGTTGTAATTTAATCAAAAATTCTACGCATTATATTTGATTAGAATTTTGGATATTTTACCTGAAATGCAAAAAATTGAAAATCCATCTTGCAAAATAGCAAACAAACATTTTATCATTAATGGATTTGCAAACAGATTGCATATTTCAGCTGAATCATACGCTTCACTGGAATTGTCTTTCGCGCTTTGTCCCCCTATATAAAAGTAGATTTTAGACCCATTTCTAGTTATTTAAGATCAGATTTCAAGATAAAAAAAATCTAAAATAACTAAACAAAAATTACCTGCAAAAAGAATTAGTAAATAAGTTTTTGTGCAAAAGATTTTGCACTTGATTAAAGAAAAACCAAAAAACCGACTTCCTAATGATCCGTCCATAATATCAGATTTTATTTTAGTCTTAATTTCATTCCCAGTCTAGAACAATCTTCTCATCTTCAGTTCAAAATTCCAGCCCTAGAGAATATAAGAAAAAAACAAACCGATTTGTCACTTTTGCCGATGCCCTCAAAATGCCCAAAATAGACGCCGAAGATTGTGCCTAACTCACCGCTTGATCCTCCGGATGAAGAGGGTATTCTCGGTGTCTCTGCCACTTTTCGCCTTTTCCAATCCCGTCCGAATCACTCGCTGTTCCTCTTTCTCTCCCTTCGTCGTTTTCTCAGTGTATCGTCCACTGTCTCGCGACGTTGCCCTGCGTGCATCCGAGCAGTTCACTGAACATGTGTGCTGTCCAGGCCAAACTCCAGACACGCCACCCGGACAATAGCCCCAGACGGCGGAAATGGCGCTCTTCTTCTCGCTGGATCAAAACAAACGCACGCACAATCCAGGGTCGGCCCAGGAAGTCTCTCTTGCGTCACTCGCTCGTGCGCCCCAATCCGGGACTCCCGGAACTGCTTGCGGGCTGGCAAGCAGTGGCTCTGCTGTCGCACTGTCACGTCACGAGCTCACGCGATGGCGCTCTTTCACGGTCGATGCGTGCAAAACAAACGCCTCGAAAACATGGTGTGCTGCCACATTGGCTGTTTGGACCAGCAAAAGCCCCACTGGCGCTCCGTTCTCCCCAAATTCACTATTGTCCGTGCACACTGTCACTGTGCAGTGCAAGTCTGAGTGCTTTTCACGGCTTTTCCCACGCTTTTCACGCTGTTTTGCTGCTGTTTTTCCACCAAGAGAAAAAGGCGTGCTCACTCAAAACAAAACAACGACGCAAATGGCCACACATTGCTCACTGTCGCTCTTCTTCCGCTCTCGCGAGTGTGTTTGTGTGTGTGCACCACGCCAGAGAGCGCCCAGTTTTCAGCCTCGCTTTTCATCACTTTTCACCCGCATTCCCGAGATCTTTGGCCGAAACTCCACTGCACACCACTAATACGTGTCCATGGGTCCCACTTGAGGGCGGATTTGCATGATTTCTACCGCGAAAATCCAGTGTTTTGATCGTTTTTTCCACCACAAGTCTCGTCACTCAACTATCTTGTGCGAACGCTAGAGAAAAAGTACACACACTCACGCACCACCTCGCTGTCATCTCACTCTCGCGCATACAGTGGCCACTGCTGCACAGCCATTCGTCTCGCTCTACAGCTCACACACTGTGACGCTGCCTAGGATTTGACGGTGCGCAGAGAGAGAGAGAGAATCTCGCGCCACTTTTCTGGGCAAAACACTCTCGCGCCCCCTTTTCCCGCCAGAGAGAGCGAGTCGTGTGTGCGATGAGATTCAAAACAAAACGCACACACTCAAAGTGCGCGCCAGAAACGCAATTTTCCACTCTTTTTCACCACCGATAAGGCTTCACTTCAGCTTCAGCGGCGGACTTTTCACACTTTCTTCGATTTTACCATAGGTTTTGGGGAGGTAAAATTGAGTTGTTGTTCTGTTGGAAAAGGTGTTGTAAAACATTGTTTGACGAGTTAACCCATTAACATTCACCATTTTCTCTAAATTTTCTCACATTTTTATATTAAATAAAAACTCCCTTTTTTAAAGTTGATTTGCAAAGAATAGACAAAATTCCCCAAAAAAAGCTTAAAGCTTAAACTCTAGCAACATCATTTGAGGAATGTTTCTCATCCCCCTTTTATCTGCCTCTTCTTTGTCACTCTGCTCTTGTTCAAAAATGCCACCCCCGCCCACTCCATTGCTTTTTTCGCGTGCGCGGAACGACGGAAAAATATTAACCAGCCTCCCACGCGTCAGAATTCCGCGTGTCACATCAACAAATTAACGGGAATTTATGCGAATGTCGCGGGGTGGAAAATTCAACGAGGAGATCGTGACAAATTCCCCAAATTTTCCCCCACAGCGAACTGAATGCCGTCGATATAATGTGTCCTTTTGGGCCTCATCTCGCCCCGCAGAGAGACAGCATGAAGAACAATATTCTTTGCCTTCTTTGCGTATTTTGTGTGCTGAAGAAGGCGTTCTTGTGGTGTCAGAAGTGGGATGAACTCCGGTGATTCGGCTCTGTATTTTCGGAATATCAACTCTCGCGCGCGCTCCGGGTGAAATGGGGGAAAAATGTGGAAATGGCAGAGACATAATCTTGAAAAATTGTTGGCTATTAGCCACTTTTGTGTGTTGCTGAGTGTGAAAACTTCCTAAATTTGTTTTCACCTCCCAAATTCGCGCCCTTTTTTTTGTCATCCCGCACACCATCGCAGTATGCGCGCGAGGGTAAAAAATGGGGGAGGAATTTTCGTATATAGAGTCAATTTTCATTAGGATATCAATTTGAAAGCGAGGGAGAGAGGGACAAAAAAAGTTGACAGTTTTTTCTGTGTCGCGCATTTTGGCGCGGTAATTCGACAAAAGCCGGTCAATTGTCGAATTCAACAAATCAACCCATAAATATTCCGCCCTTTGCCGGAATTCTTGTTGCGCTCCACACCATCAATCTTCCCACGCACAGAGCATTAAATTCCGCTCTCTATCCCACAAATATACGCGCAGCAGAGCCCAAAATCACGCCCAAGGCGGACAGTGGGAAAATTTGATGGAAAATACGCCTCCAATTGACCTCAATTAATGTGCTGTGCGGGGGAGAACTCACTCGAGGGAGATCGTATAAATCCCATAAACAGGAGGCGAAAGACAGCATTCGCAGCGACCTGGCGTTATTCCGTTTTAATTCACCGCAGCGGAGGCGCCTGGTGGCCGAAGCAACCCCTCAATGGCCCCCGGCCGCCCCTCGACACGTCATAGAGACACACATTTTACAACTGCGCTGACTGACGACCCGATTTATCCGTTACTACGTCGTAGAATTCCCGCCGAGAGCTTTCGGAGGGGGTGGAGTGGGTGGCTGCTGTCGAATGGCGCCCACCAACACACGGCCACGAGAAGCCACCCTCAACATTGTCTCTGTGCGCCTGTGTTGCCACCCTCTGAGCTTTTCCACCCCCAAAAGTGCGACAGAGAGGAACTTTCGCCACTGCATCGCGAAGCGACGCTCCCTGGAACACATTCCACACGCCTTCCACAAGCCAGGCAAGCGACGCGGGAAAACTCCAGCCGCGACGGAGAGACAAATCGCCCTACACTCAGAAAAATAAGGGAATTTCGAAGGAAGGATCTAGTCTTCTTTGTCAAGTGGAAACTTGATTTAAATCAATCGGATTAATGCAATAATAATAGTAATAGTAAAAAGAGTTACTTTTTTCTTGATTTTTTAATATATTGACTTCCTTTTAGTTCAATATTTCTCTCAGTGATGAAGGGAGAGAGAGAGACAGAAGATTGAGCTTGAGTTCCACGAGCGCGATTTGGCGATTTTCCACCCCTCAGCATTCCTGAGGCCGCGTCCCGGAAGAGCAAAATTACCTCTGGACGCCCACTGAGAAGCACCGCGCCATGAAGCCGCCCTCCGGCGCCGCACTCGTGACCCCACGAAGGTGTGGAAGCGTGTGTGGAATAGGAATGAATGGAAATTTGAAATTTATACGCATCGACGGAGAGGAGCAATTTTTCCCAGATGAGAGGAAATCTTCATGATTTATGGCCACAATGAATAAATCGATAGCGCTGGATATTCTGCAAATTGTTCGCCGTGCGGCGTCAATTTTCCATCAATTTCTCAGTAGTTTTTCTCTCTTTCTTTTATGCTACGTGCTTGATTTCCCGAGGACGTGATTAGCTCACGTCTCGACACTTGAAATTCCTCAAGTCGCACGATTTCCAAAGATTTCCGAGCAGTGGCGAGAAAATGTGAGGAAATCACCATTTAATACTGCAGAGATAAATCGGTGTGTTTGTGGACAGAAGACACAATTTCACTCTTTTCTCAAGCTGCGTTTCACTAGAATTTCCCCAGGAGAGTTTGACTTCAAGACTTTTGCTGAAAGATGCCCTGAAAAATGGTGGGAAAATCACAGTGGAGCACCATGAAGCATATGCACGACGAGTTAACACTCGACTAACCCATACAATATTCACTGAATGCTTAACAAATAACTAGTTTTAATTCATAGTTCTCGTACAAAACTTAAACAATAAGAGCTGTGATGTTAATTCCAGCATCTTGAAAGGCAGTTGTGGTTATTATTATTAATGTACTTCAAATTGCTCATTATCACATGAATTAATTCATTGGCATGTAAATTTCAGTTTCTTAAATTCACTCTTATTTCTAATCCTTTGGCACATAATATTGTTCTGAGTGAAAAAATAAATTTGCCTTCATGGCGATTCTTTGGACTTCATTCCATTTCACAATAGTTATAAAGAAGATTTAAACAAAAAGATGAATGAATGTGTAAATTAACGCTGAATATGTATGTAATTGTCGTCATGGATAAAATAAAAAAATATATGTATATTCGAGATCTACTTTCTTTATAGGTAGAACAGCCTATCCTGCAGCATCCTCGCAGGCTCACGCTTCACGTGCTCACCTATTAAATACGCCAGCTTGTGCGCATACTGCAAGAAAAACCACATATTTCAGTCAAATGCAATTAAATTAAATGCGTATAAAGGTGATATATTTCATCGGCAGTTACTGTATTCTTATATCCGTTCAACTCACCTGGCAACACGCCGGCACACGAATCGTTCCCGGCCAGTTGTAGTACATGAACGTCAGCTTGTACGCCAACTTCTGCACGATGTCCGGCGACAGATTGGCTGAGTCATAGACGATGATGTAGTGCGTCGGCGAAACTGTGCCCTGGCGAACGCTCTGCGAGACCAGAAAGAAGTCCTTCATGTAGCGACGCGTCACCGAGTGATCCACAACAGTTCCTGGACGACAGTTGTCAAAGGACGTGGCCTGATTGCCGACGCAACGGAAGAAGCGCGTGTTGATGCGCTTCTGTGTGATTACGTATGTTAGTTTCGGCACCTGTCCGGCAGGATAGAGCGTCTGTGCCGCTTCCAACAGCTGAGGCACCTCAAAGTTCTCACACACCGGCAATTGTCCGTCACCAACGCCATCGCGGAAGACCACAATTCTCTCCGGAAGACACCCATTCGCCTCTCTGAACGCCACCAGAGAGTCTTTGATGGCGCGTCCCAGGCCTCGGCTCACTTCCTCTTTGATATTCTGTATGATTGACATGCTGAACCATCTTGTGAAGGTCCTGTTGGTCGACGACACAAAAGCTGTGACGCTGGATGACTTCTGCGTCGGATCGTGGTAAGCATCGACGCCACATATCATCGTATTCGCCATGGGAATATTAACACTCCACAGCGTGCCGCCAATCTTACAGTTCATCTGCAGCAAGATCTTCATAACTATGGATCTCACTTTCGACTCGTTCGCTTGCAGCATATTGCGCGCCATTATCACTTGCGACGGAACTGGTGTCTGATAGCAGCACACCTTCTTCACCGATGCATACCATTCAGCGCGCTGCGAGGGAAATATTATCACAATGATCGACAAATCTGGCTGAGCATGAATCGTCTCCTGAATCTGTCGCACCAAATCAGCCGTCTGTTCGCGCTGCACAACAACTTGCTTCGGATTCTTCACATCCATGCCCAGACATGAAGCATTCTTTTGCACCAGTGCGAGAAACTTCATCGCAGCATCCTTGTTCCGCTCCACATACAAGATCGCCCACGAGACGAGCGGCAGTGTTGTCAACACACGACGACTGGTGGCGTCGCGAGAGAAATCAGCCTTCTCACCAGCCGATCCTGTGTATCCCTCGAACTGAATCTGCTCAATTCCCAGCTCGCGTCCCTCCAGATTCAGGACATCTGCCGACAACTCCAATCCCCAGTCCTTCAGCACCTTCCTGGCGGGCTCGCACTCGCGCACATTGGCCAGGAACTTCCTCAATCCCTCGACGCGATGCTGCGGCGTCACAGAAGTGTACGCAACCAGATCTCTCTTCAGATTCTGATTGTTCATTTGCTCATCCGTCAATCCAGTGAGATAGCAAAGCTCCGGAATGAGACTCGTCACTCTCTCCTGCTTCTCTGCCTGTCCAGGCATGCGAACTTCCTTGAAGTTCAGCAGGAGTGGCTGATTCAGATCATTGATCGTGATATTATAGTTCCTCCTATAATACTCCACGTAATCGATTTCCTCCCCATTCCTCAAAAATTTATCCTTGGGAGATAGATTGAAATCAATCTCATGGACGCAATAAGTCTGATTGTTGTATCGCGTGAGTATTATCTTCCCGATGATTGTCTCTTTTACTTTTTTGTGAAAGTCCTGCGGATGACGATGGTAAATGTCCGTCATCAGCTCTTTCACCGTCATTGTGGAGAGGCGACGATGCGACACATCGAGATTCAGCATCAAGCCACCCTCGAATGTTTCCACCGCCGTGATATATCCTGGCCATATCTCGAGCTTGTGTTGCGGCACTGAAAGCAAAGAAAAGTCTTTTAGTATTCAGGATATTATAATTCACTTTGTGAACGAGTGAATATGCTTTTCTATACTACATAATCTGAGTTATTATGATTTAAAGTTTTCATATGAAATTTCAGTCCTTCTCAGTTTTACTTCTATTCGAAATTGCCTCATTTCAAGTTAACCACAAAAATAAAAAACTACCGTAAATCCCACTTTCCATTGTTTTCCCTCTCAATGTGTGTCAAATTGAGCCCTTAAATCGACTTTAGCTGTTGGATATCGGGCTTTAGCAAAACATAGAAGCGCTTATCGACAATTTTGTCTCCACCATGAATAGAAAAAATCAAGTGCAAGCAAAAAGCAAAACATTGTGCGCTTTTTAGTGTGTGTTGTTCGGCCAAGTGTGCATCATCAGCGCAAAAACACCATCTTTCCCTCCTTACCAAGCTTTGCCTTGGTGGGATCAAATTGCCTTCTCTTGTGGCGCACAAACTTGAGCTCTCGCATGACTCTGTTGAAGAGATTGTTGAGGAATGGACTCAATTCCTCTTCCGGCTTCTCCTTGATTAGCCTCATCGACACCGTGATGGTCTCCTTGGTGGCCTGCAGAGTGGTCGTGAAGGATGAGACGGGCGCCAGTCTGCGAGGCAGGAACAGATTGAAGCCACTGAAGACAAACACGGAACCAATCTCCGCCTGCAGCTGCCCGATGATCTTCACGCGCAAATGGATGCTGTCCACTTGCGGATGGAACTGCACACAATACTCGAAGATGCGCAAGTTGCCCGTCCACTTCAGGGGCAGATAATTTGTCATGGCACTAGTCAGAGAGCCTGGAAGAGAGAAGAGAATCTTGAGTTTGTATGGAATAAAAAGCCGCCGCAGAGATTTGGCTCACCGCTTTTCCCTCGATAAGACACAGGAGATTTGGGCCCCGCGGCCTCCTGAACAGAGGCAGCCTCCATCTTCTGCGTGACGACCGCCAAAGGTTGGCTTGTCTCCTCATCGTACTGGCGGGCGGCATCAAGGACGCGACGCAGCGATTGGCCGCGGCCGGCGGCCCGAGAGCCAGAACCGCTGGACTCGCCGGACACCGGAGTGGGGTTCAAGGGCGTTTCCGGCATGGTCATGGTCAGACGCTTCAGGTGACCGCGTCCCAGCGACGAGGACTCGAGCGTCTCCTCTCCAGAATCTTTGCTGACACCCAAAACCGTTGGCGCCGCCGACTGACCTTCCGGCGACTCCGCAGCACTGCCGCCGCTCAACTGCGAATCACCCGACGACTTGGCCATCTCCGCCAGGAGCCTCATCTGATGTCCACGTCCCTTCATATTCCCTTCTTATTCACTTTTGGCTCAACTGAAAACACACCTCACTTTGTTCACTCCGCAAAAGCAACTAAACACTTCTAAGCTCGTGTCTCGCCGTGTTGCACGGATGAATTTCACAACACCACTTTGCGACACCAGCGCCTTGCTGCGGAGAAGAGCTACACCACGCATTAAGCGATTCAAAAAAATCTTCCAACGAATTCTGTGGCACAGAAGAAGGTAAGTGAGAGAAAATGCGTAAAATATACGAAAATTTAATTCATTTTTAACACTATGAATGTACACAAATTACAACGAGCAAATAGTGAAACAGACAAAACTCGGGCGTCGCCCGCAAACGGTCAATTGTCTAGGGAGCGCCGCTAGAAGTCGTTGTCCCAGCCCGTGAGGTCATCCGGCGGCGGTCCGTCCGGATCCGGTGGATACACGTCGAAGTTCGTGGTGTCCGTGACGCTCTTCACTTCCGGCCGGATCGGCGGCGTCAGCGTGCGCGTTCGTAGGCCCTCCCAATAGAATCCGTCGAACCACCTTGAAGACAGAGATAGAAAGAACGGAGAAAGGATGAGAAAATCAGCCAAAACGTGACTGCATTTCGATAAAAAGCCAATTTCCCCATGATTTTTAATTATTCATGCATGCCTCTTCTCTTTAATGACCTGTGTTGCCACATAATATTCCCATCCCTCGAGATTATATTGATGGAAAAAATTAAATGATGAGGTTTTTCACTAGCAATTAAAAGAGCATTATTCGTTGTATAACTATCAACAAGATCATCCAACAAGTTATTCACTTAATACTTAATGACGATCGACGTGATCAGTCGTGATTGTCTCATTACTTATTCGCCACTAAATTAGTCATTTTTTCCGCAGCAAACACAGTTTTCCATCACGACGTTTAGCAGCACTTTTGAAACGATTTTCGTTCTCAAATGCTTCTTTTTTTCACCAAATTAACACACTTATTTCAATTTCTTCAGATATTCAGACTTTTCTGAGGATCCAGATTCACTCACTTGTGCTTCTGGATCTCGCTAATGCCGCCGCGCTGGTATCCGAGTCTCTCGGCGGGATTATCGCGGCAGAGCTTCTTGATCAGCGCGCTGGCGTTGCGCGTGATGTTGCGCGGGAACTCGATGGCGTCGATGCCCTTCAGGATGATGTTGTACGTGCGCATGGGATCAGAGCCTGTGAAGGGCGGCGTGCCCGTGAGCAGCTCGAACATTAGCACGCCGAGCGACCAGTAGTCGGCGCTGATGTCATGGCCACGATTGAGGATCACCTCCGGCGCCACGTACTCCGGCGTGCCGCAGAAAGTCCACGTCTTCCGGCCGCTCTGCAGCTTCTTGGCGAAGCCGAAGTCCACCAGCTTCACGTAGCCCTGCACGTCCAGCAAGAGATTCTCCGGCTTGAGGTCTCTGCGCAAGGAAGATAAGAGATTGTCAATTAAGAGAGCTTGGTGGTGATAAAATTGGCTTTCTGGCGCGAACCTGTAAATGATGTTCCGGGAATGGAGATAGTCAAAGGCCTCGACGACACAGGCGGTGTAGAATCGCGTCGTGGCGTCATCAAAGTGACCTCGATCCCTCAAGATCGTCCACAGTTCACCGCCGAGACAGCTCTCCATCAGCATGTAGAGATATTTGCGATCCTTGAACGTCTTGAAGAGCTTCACGATGAAATCCGAATTGGCCTGGAGGGCAGCAGAAGTTGTGTGTCAGCATGAGAATAGCAAGAATTCAGCACGTTCTCACCTCAACCATGATCTCTTTCTCAGACATGATGTGTTGCTGCTGGCGCGTCTCGACAATCTGCGCCTTCTTCATCTGCTTCAGGGCGTACGATCGGGATTGATCACCGTTCAGCTGCACCAGTTCCACTCGCCCAAAGCCACCGACGCCCAGAGTGGCGATCACACGCAAATCCGTCAACTTGATGTCCCGGAATTCCTCATTGATTCTGTCGAGGGAAAATCATCAGATCCAGCAAAGATCAAACATCTCAATTAACTGCCATTCACGCGACTTTTTTTACCCATCTTCTTCAATCCACGACGCAGGCAATAAAGAGAGTTCTTGCTTACATAGAGTGTATGAAAAAGGTCATTGTATGGTCTCACCTCTCCCTCTCCAGCGTTCCCTCGTCGTCGTAGCGGTGCCGAATCTCCTCCAGATTGGATATCAGCTGGTTGAAGGTCTCCCGGTCGATCACGAGACACGTCACACCGTCCGGGGAGTCACAGATGATGTTGGCCGTGCGCAGATCATCGCCCTGCAGCGCCTTCTCGCCAAAGAAGTCACCCTTGCCCAGCAGCCGGATGAACTTCTCCTCCTGGCTGTCCGGCAGGCGGATCGTCACGCGCACCTGGCCCTTGGAAATGATGAAGAACGTGTCGCCGCGTGCGCCCTGACGCACGATGTAGTCACCTTTCTGGTAGTACGTCTCCTCCAGCACGTCCGAGATCTTGATCAGCGTATCTTCCGGCAGACTCTTGAAGATGGGCACGCTGCGGAAAGAGCAGAAGTACTCTTAGTGGAAGAATTTACAAGATTTCCCTATTCATTGCTTGTTTGTTAGCTAGGCACTGCTTAGATGTTAACCCAGGAAAATTCATCTTAATGCTTTCCTAGCATTTCCTAGATTTTTCGACTTAGATGTTAGGTTAGATCAGTTCAATAGGTCTAGAAAGTGCAAAAAATGAAGGAATACGCATTTTTAAAGCACTGCTGAATGTGTTGTACAAATCTCAGTCATATTATCTTTCCCTTGTCTAATGGCTTCCTACTTCGCTATTCCTTTACGCAAGGGTGAAAGTGTGCCTATCATTGAGGCAGGCACTCCTCCAACAGCACGCGACTGATCTTCTGCATAATTGCCAATGTCAAGCGCGATCACTTTCCCTTTCAGCCGGTCAATTTTATTAATCGCCAGCGCGCTTTTTCCACAGAATGCGCGCATCATTTGGTATTCACGAAGTGGGTGATCGCGCGAAAGGGCATTTCAGACATCGCGCGCGATTTGAATAGCCTCAAAAGACTTAAGATGAAGGCAAGAAATAGACACAAAGCATCATCAAGATGAGTCGGGGAATTTAATTTGCTATGCCATTTAGCTTTTATCGCGTCTTCCACGATCGCGGGCAGGAAACAATAATTTCTCAATTTAGCATCTCATGTCATCGACGACCTCAAAGCATTTGGAACGAAGTGCTCCTCTTCCTCGTCACTCTCTGTGCAGCAATTCGCTGCATCATTGTCCTGCACACACATCCGAGTTAATGGCCACTCGCGACACAGTCCATCACATGTGGATTAACTCCACGAGAGCAGACAGACAAGAGACTGTGTTGCAAAGTGAAGAGAATTCATTGCTTCACACTTTCGAGTTCAATGGTCCATGAATCTCACTCTCGGCAGCCTCGCGATCGCCGCAAGAAGTGGCTTAACGCTTTTTTCTTGCCACCACTAGCGATGAAATGTGTTTCCTTTGTATGGAAATCGCACTCTTCCCCGCGTGGATTATGAAATGCGAGACGCTTTTTTGGCTAAGAAAACAGAGATCCTCTAGTGATCTATTTTGCCATCTTTACTGCTCCAATGATCTCATGGTGAAATTGGAAATCGATTTTTATCGCCCAACCATTTATATTGCTTAGCGATGCTCTTGAATTTCACATCACAAATAAATAATCGTCAAGATGCAGGAGAGTTTCTTCTCACACAATTGTATATTTTATCACCCTATTGGAGACTTTATAATGGCAAAAAACAATGTTTTACACACTAAAAGTGAGATAAAACTTATGTATCTTGCATAAAATTTGTGAGCAAAAGTTTTGGCAGTGAAACATTTTATATTTTCAAATTTTTTTTTCCTTTTACCCACACATAAGATTAGTAAAACAAATATTCCAGTCAGAGCGACATCTGTACAATTTCTTGTATGGGAAATGCACAACAAAATGACTTAATTTCAACATGGAAAGTTTTCTCATCTTATTTCTCCCACGGTTTCCAGCATTTGCCATAAATCACAATATCGAAGGCAATTTTCTTTGATTCTCCAGCAGAAATTGACGAACATATTGAGGAATGCTATAAAATTGACCCACCCTGGAGATGTTTAATGTGTTTCATCAATCGCAAATGCTGTCTGGCATTTAATGAGCCCCATTAGCGCCAAGGATGCGACCTTCAGTGCGAAATATTGAATCAGAAAGTACGCCTCAATTGACGGTATGGACGCATTTGTCACAAAGAGAGGTGGGTTTTCGCCATTTGAAATGGCTTCACACTTGAAGGTCTCACGCCTGGTTGAGCAATGCGCTCTTTCCCAATTGTCCGAAATGTGTGTGTTTGCAAGCAATGCTGTGTGTCTCACTCACCTCTTGAGGAAGTCCGTGTACTCCGTCTGGCGAATGAGGCCAGTCCTCATCATGATGGTCTGGAAGCATTGTCTCTCGATTGCCCACAATTTGCAATCGTTCACAGCTGTTATGGTGGCTGTTCGCTGGCAATTGTACAGGATCGCCAGCTCGCCGAGCACCTTCGCTCCCGACAGCGTCGACAGGTATTTCCCCTCGCGCGACACCTCAACGCGTCCCTCTGCAAAGACATGGGAAAAGAAGAAATCAATGTCATGTGGATTCATATCCAATTTCCGACAGGTGGAAATTCACTGTTGACGAAGAGGTGAAAAGAAGTCATGCTTCTCTGTGTCACCGCGATCTCTTTCACATCCACTTCTCCTCGACACATTGTGCATAATCCATCGAACTAGTTCCATTCTCTCTCCCTCTCTCTCTCGCTCTCGAGATAGTCAACTATCGGTTGAGATTGAAGATGAACTTCTTGCAGCCGCGCGACACAAATCGCGTATAAATAATTCATGCTGAAGCGCACGGGCAGAAAAAATGGGAAAAGTTCTTCTGCGGCAGAAATGTCCATACCGCTAAGATAATTGCAAAGTATTTGGATTTATTAACTTCCTCCATGTCTAATTAGCCGCCAGAGAGTGAGATATTTTTGTCCAGTTGTCGGAAATGCCAAACGATTCTCCATTCTCATGGACAGTGTTGGGCGGATTGTTAACATTTTAACCCTTACGTAATTTCTTACAGAGTAAGAAATGCATTTCTTCTTCTCAAAAGATATTTTTATCACATAAATTAAAAGTGTAAAATCAGCAAAGTCCTCAAATCCGGGTAATTAAAGCTCAGTTTGTGTTTTTTTTAAGTAAGGCTTTCTTGCAAAATTCTTACATTTTACCAAATCTTTTTCCCAACTAAAAACTAAAATACAGTACAAACACAACACATCCTTCGTGATAATTGAATATCGCTGAACAGCAATGCAGCTTTCGGATGGCGAAGGAAAAATACTCCAAAGCATTGGTTATCTAAGAGCAATATTTCAGGCTACAGCAATAATCCCACTCATTTCGAAATGTCTCGCTCTTAAGTTTCAATTATCCGCTCCTCTCCACTCTTCATTGAACACTTTAAACTCCACAGTGACTCATAAATCATAATTTTCTTTCACCTTTTTGCCGATTTGCTCTCTACCCATGTTAATGGTTGGATGTAGAAAACAATCAAGTAGCAATTTCGATCGTCATACTTCTCAGCATTTTCACTCCGAAATGCATCGTGGAAAGCGAAAGAATGTTTGTCTCATCATTCAGTAAAAAGTGTTACAACTACTGTTTTAGCACTCGTCGCGCGGGCCTCCGAAGTAAGAGTGAAAATCTCACAAACGCGGTCCCACATTTAGATGGCCTCAAATGTTCTCAAAACATAAACAAACACGGCGCAATTCATCACGCCACGATTGACTAAAATTGAGGGTAGAATGATGCATCACAACATCACTTGAGCATGGAATTTGATGTCTTTTGCATGAACACAATGAAGACAATTATGATACAAATGGTAGAATTTAATTCAAATGGACGAAATTCTGCAATGCGTAACTGTTGGCCGCGCGCGTAATTGAGGCATTTTCTCTCCACTCTTCTCTACGCGCGCAATTTAAATAATTATCAAGAACAGTGGAGGCATTTTGCAAGATTTTACCAGCAGAAATTTATTGTTGTTTAACGGAAGCAATTTCATTCCAGTTATAGACTTTTTCTCCTGTGCGTCTGCCGCAAAGTTGGTTTTTGGGTGAGGCCAAAAGAGAGGCAGCAAAAAATAAATGCCCAGAAAAGCATGACGCCTGAGAAATGATGAAATATGCATCAAATGCATGGTAAGACATGAAATGATTCCGAGTGAAGTAAAAAAAATAGAGATCAGAAATCATTCTGCCAATAAATCACTTTGTTACAGTGTCTTCGAGAGGGTTTTGAAGAAGAAAACTGATCAACAATTCTGATGCTGTCTTGTTAACCAGTTCAAAGCCGAGAGAGAATCGTGTGTAATTGGGTACTTTTTCTGCTCCTCTTCTTCCGTCAGCTTGCCAGCTGCTCTGTAATCATCCAAGAGGTGAAATTAAGCCGCGAAATACGACCACAATTGAGACATTTTCATAACAAAGTCGGCAGAAAATTGGCGCTAGGGTGAAATATCTCGACGCCAAATGGGAGTGAAATTGCAATTGATGGCACACAGCAAGTCAATAGAATCCATTTCGCAAGTCATCATCAACACAAAAGACATTGTTCTCAAGGCATGCAGCACACCGGAAAAGTCTTCTCCATCATCCCGTGAGTTATTAAAGACGAATTAAGATAATTTCTATCACTCCTTCGCAGATTTATTAGGCAGATTGCGATCGGAATCATGTAAATCACGGGTGTATTTTACACGGAACTTTCTCATCTCTTCTTCTAAAAATGATGAAGATATTGTTGTGCAATCTGCGTGTGATTTTTTTTTGTGTGAGTATGTTGCAAACATACTGCAAAACAGATCTCTTTACTGCTAATCTTAACTCTCTTGTATATCGCCTCTTTATGACATGTGTAATTTCGGCTATGATACTTCCTTCCGACTCTCTCAATTTTTCTTCGCTGTGTGGCAAAATAATTGCACGCAGATTGTGAGATACATCCCGAATCCAGTGTAATATAAGACAAAAGAAAAGCCACCAGGAAATTGTAAATCTTAACAAGACGCGAAGACGATCGAAGTCTTAATGAAGTTGGATGTGAAACTAATTGGGTTTTATGTAATTTTTCCACTTGACTTGCGACGTGAGATTGACTCTTGCAGACTTCTTTATTGCACGGCCGGTTTTTTTTCGCCAACAAGCATTAAGAAGAAGACTGGCTGTCTCCGGTTTTGAAGTGCCGGTGAACATCATCATGAAAGGTGTTTCATAAATTTTAGGATTAGCACAGCTTCTTTATGACAACTCAAAGCTTGGCATAAAAGCTTCTTATAAAGTGAGTCCGGAAACTTATTGCACCGCCTAAATGTGATCCTGTCGTGAGTTTTATAGCCACTTTATTAATTCGAGAGCGAAATGCGTGAAGGTATGAAGTGGAGAGATGATCTGGGGAGAATGAAGAGGTCAATGCCAATAGTCGAGGGTAAATTGAGCGAGAAACTTTCAAATTCCAGCCAAAAAATTCACTCATCGCCGAGATATTTCACACTGATGTGCCTCTGTGGCATCCTTATCCCTCAACTCGTGAAATCCTCAACACATTGTCTCGCGGTGAAAGTCTCACGAAGAGATCACCAAAGGTGATAACAGCACTTTCGTGACCATCAAGCACACAAATTCTGAGTGTTAATCTTCCAATATGGAGTCATTCAAAAGAAATCCGTATCAATAGCGAAAATTTCTCTGGGCAATTATCACTGGATGGTGTGTATTGCTTCGAGCGTGACATTCTTCATCATCCTCTCTTAGCACCTCACACAAATTTGGTGGGAAAAGACGTCTTCCTCGGGGCGCCCAGACAAGATCAATTGAACACCTTCTTTCAACATCATCACTCAATCGCGCATACCATTCATCAAGTGGTGCCTTATTAGAGATTAGATCATACTCGATGTTGCGCTCATGCTGGGAATTTGCAAAGTGATTGCAAGGTTCGCGAAATACCTTTGGAAATATGCAAATTGGAATTGTGTTGATCTTTGTGTCCAGAAGGATTGCTCACAGGAATTTATCTTCTTATGATTTATTCAGTAGATTTCAGAGTTGAAATGCCAAAACAACATCTTCGCCGCAATGGTATTAGAGTTGCCAAGACATGAGATGGGATTTGAGAAAGTGTCTTGGCAAGTATCAAAAGATCATAAGCTATCAACTCTGCACGCTGCACAAGAAATTGTAATTCACAGCGAGACACTTCAATGTCGCTGCAATTAAGTCTAAAAAGAGCGAGGAAAAGAAATTACAAGAATGCCGTAAAAGTATGTGTGCTGGCAAGACTTTGAATTTCTCTCTTGGACATTTTTGTCGCAAAACAAGAGAGAAAACATCATATGTGTAATTCTCTGTACACAAATCTAACTATTTCGCCTCTGGGAATTTTTCCACAAAATTCTCTTAGGAAATTTGTGTGCATTTGCACGTAATTATCACCACAAAATCCCACTTGCGCGCACAGTTAGAAGTGTTGAGTTGAAATTGCGCGTGACGAGAAGATTGACAAAAGATTCTCTTCCGTGAATTATTCCTTTGTTTAGAGACAAAAAAAAACCACCTCAATTTTGCGGTAATGAGATTTCCAACCTAGAGAAGCAGAAGATCGCCAAAGTGTTGGATATTGATTAAGCAAGTTTAAGTAGTGAATGTACAAGATTTCTCGCAAAATCGCCATCATTTCACATTGTTGACTTCTGACTCAGATAAACGCGCTGATGCCAAAAATAAAATGTGACACTGTGCGATGGTGGTAAAATGTCAAGGCTCTGTTTTTTCCCAATTTCTGTCCAGCGTTGAAAGACCTCGTGGGCGTTCGAGGAGAAGAAAGACTTCAATTCTCGCGTGAAAACGATCTGTACGCGGAGAAAGTTTCTGGGGGAATTGTTCTGTCTTCCTAAAGTCAGGAGAGAGAAAAACTGCAAACAATTCCTTTCATACACTCAATTGTCAATTGATTCGTTAAATCTTTCTCCGGTGCGTTTCATTTATTTTCTTGACCCACATTCAATTGTTAAGAACACCGACGCGCGCATCTCTTTTCGGCGATGGCTGAGGAAGAGGGGAAAAAACGCGCTGAATGAGTCAATTGAATCGACAATAGAGAGGTCACGCGGTCTCTCAAATTCACTCAATGATGGCGAACGTACATTTAATGAGGAAATTCCCCAAATAGCAAGACAAACATCAGCACGACGAACAATTTGGAGAATGCACTTCAGAATAAGGTTTTATCTCCCATTCACACTCGCTATCGCCACTTCCGATTGTACTTTGCGCGCGCGCGGGTTTTGAAACGCCGCACACGATGAGCTAAATAGAGAATGAGCACGAGGAAATGGCGAGAAATGCTGAGCTTCGCTGGATTGATATGGGAAAATCAATATGCACAGGAAAAAGTATTGCAAGAGAGGCAGAAAAGAGAAAATTACCCATCCGAAAGAATGTCCATTAAATAGGCTTTAATTGCCGACTTTCAATTGCATGTTCTTGCACGATAAATAACTACTTTTAGCATAATTAAGATAAACAGCGCGCAATATTAATTTCCTGACGACTATCGAGCGCTTTTTTTTCTCTCTCTCTTCACATTTTCTTCAATTCCAATATCGAATTGTTTGATTAAGAAGCATATAAACATTTTAAATGTGCACTTCAAAGGGGAAAAAAAAAGTTTTGATAAATTCGACATTTACTCGCGCGCGATCATCAATTCCCACGAAGCATCGCGCATTAGAGCAATTTGATAAATTTGATGGAGAGGAAAAAGAAAATTTCCTCAACAAATTTTCAGCAGATTTACATAATTTCTGTTTTCTCTCTAAACAATAAATTTGCGCCTGTCTTCGTTCACCCGCAAAAACAATCATTTCAATATAATCTCTCGTGTCGATCAAACTGAATTTTCGCATTAGGAGAAATCATTTGACTGAATAATTTATTATTTTCACCTCGAGGTGCGTCTTTTTTTCATTTGACGGTCTTTTTTCCCTACAAGCAGAAAGTGAAATTAATATGCAGCTCAAGACACCAAACATTTCAAAGTCACTAATGCGGAATACTTATTAGCCAGCGCGATTGCATGGCGAAAAATTGACCATTATCATTTCCAATCAATTCGGAATTAATCATAAGTGGACGAGCATAGAAACATGATTGATTGACGAGCCAAACTGTGAAGCATATCTTGGGAATTTTTTGCGCATTTAATTAAAAACGCCGCGCGCTTCGAACAATAAATTATACATTTTGACAATTTCTCACAGGAAGTTTTCTGCTTCTTTTTTATATTGATTTGGGAAATATTAGTAGGGCAGGTGAATTAGAAAATGACAAAAACACGATGACTACTAATTTACATATTCGCAAAGTGTATCTGGGAAAACTTTCGTTGGTAGTTTTGCCCTACTAGTCGGATTAGGAGTGAATTAAGAGCATTTTGAGAGATGAAGAAATTGGCTGAAAGCTCATTTGAGCCCTGATTTTATCTTGTCTCACAATGTTTGACCACTTTTACTGCAAATATCCCTCGACAGAAAAAAATGTGTTCAGTGAAAACCATCGAGGAATGCAGTTGAACGGCAAGAAAAAAACCGGTGAGGAAGTGTGCGAAACGTCGAAAAAATTTCAAGAATCATTTAGCAAAGTCGATTTGAGCCATGTGAACATAGTGACAGTGAAAGTTACCACAATTGATCATGGGCTCAGGAGAGGAGCGAAGCATAAAAAGAACGAGGAAAGATAGCAGATTAATCCGCACATTAATTCAGATTCATGCAATGGGGAGCAAAAATGAAATTGATTCATTGCGAGATCTCTGGTGTAAAACTCTCTCAATTTCCACGGGCGCGCGCGCGGAGGAAAAGAGCGCGAAAAGTGATGGAATAAATGCAAGAGATTAAAAAGAAAGAGTTTTTTATCGGTTCAATGCCCAAAGTGCAGTCAAGTTTGGACAATCTGTGAAAAATAGCACCCAATTAAGAGCATCAAATGGGGCGTCAATCGAGACAGATTGCAGAGAAATTCAGCAAGTGTGTGTGATTGAGAAATTAATCAATATGAGCACTGCACAATGTATTAGATCACTTTTGGCCTAAAGCTAAACAATCCCAGGTGAATTTTCCCTCGAGTCTGGGAAGACGAGAGAACAACATGGCGAAAGAAGTGAAGAAACAACACAACACTCACTTGATCACGCCAACTCATGCCAATTAATAACTTTTCTTTTGTTGCAACAAAGCGAAGATATTTCTTGCACCAGCAATATTAATTATCAAGTGGTATGAAAGAGAGTAAAAAGGCAGAGATATTAGTTAATCATAATAATGTGAAATCAGATGGATTTTGCGCGATCCACTTCTTCAAATATATCGTGACTTGTTTCTCATATTGTTTCACAATGTCAATTAACGAACAAATGGAGGATCGCAGAATGCCTCATTGCATTTCTTGCCTCACTCTCTTACGTGTAGCAATGTTGTGTTACCTTTGGACTCCTTGCGGTGATCTGCCACGGGATCGAGGTCCTTGCTGCTCACTAGATTCCCTGTGCGCCTCTTGCGTGCGTACGTGTGAACCGGCACGATGAGTCTGGGCCGTGGAATACTGAAGGGATCCTCCTGAGCCGACTCCTGAGGCTTCTGCACCTCCTCAACCAGCGGCGGACTGCGTCGCAGCGGCAGCAGAGGCCTGGATCGGCGTCCGCCCAGTGAGATTGTATTGAACTTGGACGAACTCGAGGAGAATGACGAGGATTCGCTCTCGCTCTTCGACGCCTTCCCATTCTTTGCCATGGGATTGCTCAGCGTGCGCTCAATGGTCTTCGGCACAGGATTGATCCTCACACTCTTGGCCCTCATGATGCCGAAGAAGCCCTTCTTGGGCTTCTCCTCCACTGTCGCCGCCTTCTCTTCCTTCGGTGGCGAACTCTTGCCTCTGCCCGTGAAGTCAATCACCTCGTAGTCATGGTAGATATCACAGGGCTGCTGCTGCTCTGGAAGCTTCTGCACGGCCTTCTTGTGTCTCCTGCGGAAGATGTCTTTGATGTCCAGCGTGCCGCAGAAGGGCAGATGCTGCGTCGGTGCGCAAGGTTTCCGCTCGCTCTTCTTGCCATACACGCTGTCACTGCTGTCCTGCGACTCGCGCTCCTCGCTCGTTGTGTGCCCATTCGAGGAGCCCTCGCTGCCGGAGAAGTGGCGCACGAGTGGTGGCTCCAGCTCCCACTCCGGATAGCGCCTGTTCTTCCGGCGCAGCGTCGACGGCCGATAGCCGTTCAGCTCACGAATGGTCCGCGTTATGTTGGCATCTTTCGCCTCCAGTGCCTTAATCTGCTCCAGGGTCATCTGATACTTGCCCAGCGACGAGATGCCATCAGTGATGGGTGGCTTGCAAGAGCGATTGACCTTGCGGATGGTCTCTTGCGTGTGCAGCCAATTCGCCTCGTACAGCGCGCCCATCGCATTGCCGCGATCCAGTGACAGGCTCACGTCCACCGCCTTGCCAGGATAGTGGCGGATCTTCCCATCGCGGCCACTCGCGAAATTTCCCTCCACGATCACCATCTTCTCAGTCTCTCATCTCTTCACACAAATGTAGCCTATAGAAAGCGCGCGATCGTCAGAATGCTAATCATCGCCAGATTCTTCATCTCAACTTCGCCACCAGAGAAAAAACCATCGACATAATTTCTCGTTACGGTTCTATGTCTAAATTTATACCGAACGCGAGGCAATCGATGCCCTGTTTCGCTGATGCTCAGTTATTCCTCATAGCGTCAGCGAAATAATCTCCTTGTTTACATGACATATGGAGATCACGGTTGGAAATGGGGAAGCGAGAGACTACAAAGAACATCATGTCTTATCGCTCTCTGGACATTCTTTCGTCAATTGCTAAATCATGTGGAATTTTTTGCTCCAAATCACCATTATGCATTCTGCATCAGTAATGCAGGCTTCATTCTCTTCGGGGGGAACGTCAATTTCGGCCTGAAGTACAACTTTTCTCCGAATCTACGGGGAAATTATGCCCAAAATCTCTGCATTAATCAATTATAATGAGGCTTGTGCACATTCTCAAGACCTTTTTCGGGAAACATTTCTCTGTGTTATTTGCATGTCTGTGGACTTTCCATTTTCGTGTCTCTTCGGCTTTACTGAAAGACGCTGAATCGACAATCTTATCATTGCATTCTGGGCACCAATTAGGTTTTTACTTTCAAATTTTCATCAGCGCTGCACCTGCAGCATCACCAGCGTATAAATTGGACTTAATTGATGAGCCCCTTTGCTCTCAACTCCCTCGGCATCGTCGTGAGTCACAGAGAGGCGAGCGCGCTTGAGGCTGAAACCGGCTCTTGGCGTGTCTAGAGCAGAGCCGATGGCAAAAAGAACATGCAAATGTAATTCTTCACAGTGTGACGCAACTCGAATCCGCTTCCCGGAGGAATTGGAAATTCTTGCGCGTGGGGTCAATCATTCAAGTTCCTCCCATTAGTCGTCCGACTAACTGAGATTTTCTCTCGCCAGGCGCTTTTTGCATTTGGCCAGAACGAGAGAAATTGGGACACGCCAGAGCGACAATAAGCGGATTTTTCCCCTTCCTACAACTTAACTAAACACATAGTTTTTCTTCATATCATCGGCACTTGCTGAAGGGGCGCGCTTTGCATGCGCGCCGCAGGAGTTGCACAAGATCTCTCATTTTCTCAATGGACTGTCAACTCCCAGGCGTGCTAAACATTCTCTGATCACCTTCTATTGAGAGTGATATTTCTCAGGTGTGTAATTTGCCAACTTGTAGCGCACACAGTCACATTATAGTGACACGGAAAAGAGTGCTAAAAACGACCTGTGTGTGTTGATTTCTTCATTAAATATGTACACAACAGCGCCGAGTGCGATATTAAATTGAGAAAAGGGAAGGTCATTTTTTCTCCTCAGTCCGATTGTGTGTGCAAAAGTGCAGAAAAGTATGCTTTTTTCCTCTTTCTTCACTGTTCGTGACTGCGTGAAAAAAAGCCGTGGCACACGCAGGAGTATGGAAAGCACTTGCAAAAGAGACACTCCTTTGGCAACGAAGACACACTGTGCAATTTCCTGTCTTGCAGTGATTTCATTGCTTCCATTAGTCTTCGGGGGGAACAAAGACCATGGTTTGGACGTATCAATGATCTTGTATGTTTGGGAGAACCCACATCATCGCATCTCAGAGATCTCTTGTGCAAATAAATTAGAAGGTATACAAGCAAAAACAGCCTTTTTAAAGAACCCAACGCTTGATCATTAATAATACATGATCTGTATGACATTTCCTCATAAGAGCAGACCAAAGACTTAAGAATATCCCATAGTCAATATGAGAATGCTGGAGTTTCTTCAAGCAAATAATTCCACACCCATTAATTTTTGCTCAGCAAATTCATCTCGCAGTGTCTCTCAGATTCAAAAGGAGCATTTTTCCTGTTCTCTCTTTCTCCCTCTCGCGAAAGACAGAAAATCTGGCGATGGTTTAGCCTTCTCTTCGCATATAAACACACCAAGAAAGATCACCCAAAAGTACCCCGAAGTCGGAATGGAAAGGTCACAGCTTTACACTCACTTCACGTAACTTTGGCCGAACAAAAGAGCAAACACAAAACTTGCTCAAGTCTTGCTTGCGCGATCTTTTTTCCACTCGTGATTTTATTTCAATAATATATCTCTGCTGGCAAAGTTGAATTAAATCACTTTCACGTACAATTTACACACTCTTTTTCAAAGCCATAATTGGCCAAGCAGATGCCTTTTGCCTATCACTTTTTTTTCAACGCTGCGCCGCGAAGACAAGATCAAATTTCTTGTTGACACAATTATTCTTCGCTCCTGCGATAGAGAAGATGAGCGCGCGCGACTCTTCCTGAACTGTTTATTTTTTGTGATGACCGAGTGATGCGCTCAAGGCTGGCCTTTGAACCACTTTATGGGTGCGCGCACGATTGCTGGCAAAATATTTGATCTCAAGGGAATTTCATTGCACAGAGTCGCAAGCAAACAAACCCCGCGAGACGCAAACACTCGAGCGTCGAGAGCACTCCGTGACCAGCGAAGCTCCGACAGCGACTGATCGCATGTACGATCTCAGCCTGGTGTTGGACACCTCCACGACTTTGCGCATTTTTACCACAGCGCCAATGTCGGTGTATTTTCACTCCGTACTCACAATTTTCATGTGTGGCAAACTGGAAACGAAATCCCACCGGGGGGTCTCCAGCTGAGTGCTTTCTTGGGTACTTTTTCCGTCATTACGGGGCTTTTGTTGTCGATATTCACAGGTTGAGTAAGAATTGAATTGCTGAAAATTGAGTAAATGACACTCTCCGAACGGTGGAGAGAGCAAAAAAGATAGGCGAAGAATTTAAGTGAAAAGACACACTGAAGCGGGTTCATTTTTGCCCCACTTCAATGAGAACTACCACCAGTAAAGTATGGAAAAATTGTACTTGAGAATGCAGCGTGAAATTCACTGTGGAAAATGATGGATTCTCATCAATCAGCGGAATTGCTAAGGCTGAAGAAAAGCCCTTCTTCACCTGCAGCAGGAAACAAAAATTCCTCCAGTCTCTCGAGACGCTGAAAACCACCCAACAAAAAGGTTCAGTGGGTGGATGATGGAGAGATTGTAGTTCTCTCCAGTTTGTCTCTTTGTTTCGTACAACCATTTTCATTATAATAGCATGAGCTAATACCGCATACAATGTCTTTCTTCTCTCCGCAAACACCGCGCGCGACTTCATGCGATTTTGTGGTACAGCAAAATTTATTATTATTATTCCAGCATATCTCTTCGTCTCTTTCGTGGCACTGCTTGTGCTATAAGTAAGAAATTCACGGGGCAAATCGACAATATAGCCAATGTTTCTCGCAAAATTTATTGCAAGATAATTTTTACTAGAGAATATTAGATGAATAATTGACCTGTGCATTGCCACACCGCGCCGTTCTGTGTCTCTTTCCCCAATGCACTGTGTCTTGGCGGCAAAATGTAGGTGAGAGGCATTGTGACGGTATCAGCAAACAGTGACAAACAATACACACCAAATTAAATGCCAAGAAATGCCATTTGCCTGATAACATATCGACTTTTCCATTCACATTTCAGCTCTGTTCGCTGCTTTTGGTGCGCCTTCAATATGCACTTCAAATTGCCAATCGCGAAGACAATGATCAAGAAGCCACTTGATCAGTGCAAAAAGAGAGATATCAGATGAAGGAGAAATGATCGTGAGCTCCCTACTTGTTTATTGATCATCTTATTGATTTTTCCCGCCATTCTCTTCCGCTCAATCGTGATGTATTACGCGCCTAATCAAAATAACTCACAATTTTCACCCTTTTTATCCGCACGGAAGAAACCCACGCGCGCATTGAAAGATCTCCAATTGCTTCGAATGGCAAATAATATATTTTTTTCTTTCTCTTTGGGTCAGCATGAAAAAATTAGAATGCCTCAAATCATCTCCTTGACTTTCATCTCGCGTCAAATAAATTTCCTGTCGGAGCGAAAAAAAGCGCGCAGAGTTTCGTGATGTGTTAATAAAGAACTGCCACTCAAATATAGGATGCTCAAAAGAAGTCTATTTGGGCGTGTAGTTTTGTCGCAAATAAAGTGGTCTCGTGGAATTTCAACAAGGCGAGAAAAAACCCCATCGAGAAAAGCGAGTTGAAAAGAAATTAGCAGAGTATTTCGTGTCAATTGGATCTCAATTCATCTCATGGCGTGAGCCGCAGTTGTTAAAAAGCTGGAGATCTTTTGTGATTATCTGGCTTTTCCAGTCACAAGAGATGTGCATTATTATCAAAGCTAATTGTTCGATCACAAGATTTCCAGATTCTCTCAAATTACCCCAGTCACAAGGGAAATCATGGGATTTTCTCAGCCAGATTCTGCGTATTTCCCACTAGAATCTAAATAAACAACAACTTTCTGGAATTCACAAAGCCAAACAAGTCTCTTTCTCTAGAGGTTAGCGATGAAGCCTTCAGCTTTGCTTGAAAGTTGCAAAATATTTGGAGATCATGATCGCGCATCGCCACAAAGGCCAAAGATTTGGCATATCATCATTGTATACAGTAAGAGGCAAATATTATACACCAAAAAGCAGCCCAATGACCAATAAAGTAACGGCATAATTGAGTAAATATCCTAGCGAAATTGCACTTCATAAAAGCCAATTAAGAGATGAGTGTGAGTCAGAGAAAAAAAAAGCTTGGCATATGTTAAATAAACACATATACCTATGAGAGCAATTCGATTGGATTCTTAAAACACATCTCGTGGCCAATGACACAAATATTCATTCGCATTTCATGTGCGGAATATGCTGCATAAATTACATGTCTGTTTTCGAGAAAGTGAACGTCATTTGTGAATCAACAGATCACAGAGGCGAGAAATTAAGGGGGCATAATCAGCATTAAAGCGAAGAATGTAAAGTCGCAATTACATCACGATCGCCTTTTTCAATCACCTGGACAATCTGCCAGACTTTTGCCACCGTCGCCATGGATGATCGATGAGGAAGACGCGGGGCAGGAAGAAGTGGGTTCAGAAAGTGTCGAGAAAGTATCGGTGGTGGAATATTGGTTTTCATCCATGCGAGTGTGCAAAAGAAAATTTCGCGGGCATAATCAGAGAGAAGAATAAGAGAGGTGACTGCAAATCACTCTCACTCAAGATACAAGTCATCAAGCGGCCTCTTCGACATTTAACACAGCTTTGAATCTCTGTGATGGGAAAGAAATATTACAACTGCAGCCCGAAGCGCATTTTCTGGGTGAAAATAGGCGTTTGTTGGGCAAATTTTTAGTGACTCTACTGCACAATAAATAAGATGCGGAACGCATCAATTCCACTTTCGCAGAGTCGGAATGTCATCGAATGAAATTCAACGATTTGTGCGGTGAAAAACCGCTTTCCCTCACCGCCTTTTCTCAAGCGCGCGAGTCCGGTGAAAAATGCAAATTTCATTTTCATCCGCACTTTCAACCTCTCACTATCATCCCACCTGTGTGATCACGCTCTTGTCGCCAAGGAGTGAGAATCCACTGATTGCAGCCTTTTGTGTGTCACGAAAACGTGTTTTTCACCGCACAAAGTGCAAACACGTCGAAAATCAAACGGAAGGAAAGTGAAATTGTCGAGAGGCTCAGGAATAACCACAACATTAACCACCACATAAAAAAAATCCTTCAAACATGAAGAGTTGCTGAACTTGTTTAAAAGTTTGATGAGGTGAAATTACTTAAAATAAAAATACACAGTGCAATTGATAAACATCGCACAATTGAAAACAACTTCAAAGGTTATCTAATCCTCAAATCTCTGCCGCACACAGTGATCCAAATTTAATGCAATACTTTCTACGGCAATTTTTTTAATTCGTTGTTTTCGGCAAAATTTGTGCAGAACACATGGAATAATTGGCAATCACAATCAATCTATGCACATTTTCGCAGCTCTTCAGCATCGCACTGTGAATGCTAAACAAGTGAAAAGTGAATTGAGAGGTGCAATTTCGCAAAAGGTCACACTTTCAGCAGCATATCATCTGCATTTCACGCGATCAGCAACAAATTGCAGGTTGGCGAGCGATTTCCATAAGAGTGCAAATTTTGCCGATAACAAAATTATGCGAAGAAAGTTCAAATGTGTCACGAAAACACACAAATTCGCAGCAATTTGCTCATATCGATCATCTCATAGTTTCTCTTTTCATCGCAACAATTGAGTGCACGAAAGAGATTTAAAAGTTTAACACACTGTTTTACCCGCCAGCAAAGCTCCCGCAAAAGCTCAGCACAAACACAGAGTGTGGGATTCTAAGACGTTTTTGCCTGCACAAAGGCGATCACCTCGATCCACCTCTTAATATTAAGAGACCGAGACTTTCTGCGGTTTTGAATGCAACGAATAGCAATTCTTACCTTCCATGACATATACGATACTGCCGACATCGCCCTCCTTGATGATTAAACTTCCTGCCGCATATTGCACGGGATACATACAGTCGACGATCTCCTTGATTTGGATCATTTCCAGATTCTTCATGAAGTCATTGTCCAGGATGGCGGATTTTATGAGCTCGCGTGATCTGCAATTGGGAATAGATAAACAATGGTTACTCAGCCACATTATGAGACAGATAGTGGTAATTTATCGTCTACTCGCACGTGTCTAGACTGTGGAAATTTGCATTTGGGATGGAAAATGTGGATGAGAAGAATTGGAGAGCCCCAACAGGGCAGTTAAAGTGCGATTTATTTCACACTCGCGACAGCCGATTATTTCTCACCCACACCAGTTCTCGGGACAATTTGATTGATATGCTGGCCGAGTGGTGAGACAAAAACATCGGCGAGATCGCGTGCTTTTCAGGCGGCGCAAGATCACTTAGAGACATTTCATACTGAGTGAAACTGTGTGTTCCTAATTAATTAGCTCTCGCTGAATCACAATCCAAGTGCGATGACACTGTGAATGAATGGCCAGCAAGTTGCCGACCAAAGTAAAGATCTGGAGTATGAAAGAGAGCGAGACAAGTTTCCGCGCTGGATGATGATGGAAAAGCATGGCTGGGAATCTCTCCAATTTTCCACAGTGCGCAAACAGTGGTGTCTTGTGTGGAGGAATGAGCGAAAACCAGCATCTCTTTGGCGATGTGGCGAGTGTGGAGATATGTTTCTCCAGCCACTGGACAATTTATTGCCCAACGATCAACTTGGGGATCTCTCAATGAAATGCTTAATGCCATTAATCTGTGTTGTCGCTGTCTCTTTCATTTACTGCCGACAACACACAGCATACAAAGTCGACTGTCTATAATTATTACAACATCTTGCATTGACTTCTTATTTACCCATTTGGCGCATTGTGGGACTCTCTCTCTCCAACTGAGGGACAAACTTATGATCATCACCGGGATATTTGCATTTAAATTATCAACCATTACCGCCCATTTGCCTATCAATTAGAGAATGATTGGGAAGTGATGGTGTATCAAGTGTACTCTAAAACACTACGACTATCTGATTTCTTACTGGTGGGTTTTGGGCGTCTTCACCAGGTCGCCCTCCACGCCAAACGACGACAATGGCTCAGCACTGATGGCCGTGCGCTTGATGCGCGGCTCCAGCAGCACCCCAGACGCCTCCATCCAGCAATCGTACGCGCCCTCCGACTGCCTATTCCCGATGATCTTCTGCGTGAGCGGCCGCACGACCTGACGAAACTTGTCAATCTCGTTCTGCAGCTCCGTGATCTCCTCCTGCTTGCTCGTCACGCCGTCCTGGCACTGCGACAGCTGCCGCGTGAGTCTCATCACAGACGCATTCAGCTCCACAATCTCACGATCGCGCTCCGCGATCTCCGCCTGGAGGCGCCCTATCACATCTTCTGCGGCGTCTGAGGAACTTTTCACCACGCAATTAGTGCAATTGTGCCGAATCGTATCACTAGATTGCAGCTTGCGCTCACGTAGATGCCTTAGCTGGTCATTCTCGCACTTCAGCACTCGCACATCGCGCTCCAGGAGCACCAATTGATCATTCTTGTCGCGCAGATTCTCGTACAGCACTCGCAATTCACAGCGCAGCGAGAGAATTGTGTCCTCCAGGGATCTTCTCTCGCCTTTCAACACTGTCATGTCACACTTATCCATCTTCGCGAAAGGGTTCTTTAGCCGCGCGCACGTTAATTAATTCTCATTTGCATGAGGTTTCATCTTTCACACTCTCACAGTCTGTCTTTTCTCGTTCTCCGCGTGTTTTTCGTGTCGGTCTACTAAAAGCCCAGCAAGATTAGCTTTTTACCCAATTTCACTGATGGACTTCGCACTTGGCAATGTACAAAGTGAAGAGATATGCAATAACTTGAGCGAATTCCACCAGTGGAAAGGTGACCGAAGAGTCGTTTTTTTTTATCAGGATTTATGTTGCGTTCGATAAAAAAAAATTTGTGGAGCATTTTATATATCGTACGTGAGATTTATTGCACAGAGAAATATGCTTAATTAATAAGCCAATTAAGCAGCCCAAGTCATAAAGGGAATTGAGTCTCGCCGAGAAAATTGAAATCGATCATTCCATAAATTAATAAAGCACAATTTATTAATTTTTCGGTAATTGATATGAAAATTAATTGATTAAACTCGATCACGTTGTGCAACACACAGAAGCCACCGTGTGCGATTTTGCTGAGCGTTTAAGGGTGTTTCACTGTGCGTGACATTGCTCAAAAGGAAATCAATAGCGTGATAAGTGGAAAGAACGGCCGCATAGTTGTCCTATTTATCACCTCACAAGTGAATTGTGTGTGAAGAATCTGCGTGCAGAAAGTTTAATCAATAGAACTGCCGTTGGCATTGTCGTGGCAACACAGAAAAACAGCCAACCTTTGCAGAGTCCAACAGTGGCATATAAATTCCATCACATTCACAGGCAATTCCTTTGAACGCCCCAACAAGAATTGCAAGACATTTCTCACTCTCTCTCAAGTGCAGTTTCAGTGGAAAATTTTTTGAGTGCAGTGAAAGTGAACGCACACAATGTTGTGCTGGAAATACGATGATAATCTCCTCAATAAAATGTATCCTTATCCCTTTGCTCCGGATCACACATCGAGTGTGTCGAAAATGAGCTCGAGCATCCCACTTGTGAGACTTTTGTGAAGATTCTGGGAACTTTCGGGGGGTTTTCGCGGTGCTTTTGGAGCTTGAAAAAGTGACGATGAAGTGGCAGGCGACCTCTTTTCTCGAAAATCGCATTTTCGATTGTCGCCTCGTGAAGGATAATTTGATCAATAGTCGATGGAATGTTAGTTCGTTGGCGACTCGTCAACGCTGCAACTACAGGGCCTTTCAGGAATCCTATGTAAATTCATCGCGAGCTTTTCACGCTTTTCCCCATTTCATTTCTCATTCATTCCACAAACGCTCTCATCATCAGTCACTTCATCCATCGCCAAAAGCTTCACTCTTTCGCAGTTATTCACGAAGGAAAAGGGGCTTTTCTAATGCGCTTTTGCGTGCTATTTTCCAGCCCTGGAGCTCCACGAGTGGCCCCGATCAGAGGAATGAGAGTGCAGTGCCGCAGAAAATCGGGAGTTACTATCAAACCCCTCGCCCACATCCCTGGAGACCAACAATGGGCTATGAAACGATCGAACTGGCGCCCATTGCTGAGCATCCTCTGACAAATCAACTCGTGCATCCCAATTATATCCCCGTTTCCCTGACATCCGAGCCTCTGTCTTTCCCCAATCTCATCACAGGCTACGAGAAGAATCCCCAGCATGCAGCCAGATCGGCTCTCTACACTCGCTACACTCCGTCTGAGTGGATCAACTCTTGCATCTCCACCTACGCCGAGGCGGACGTCAATCGCCATCATTCCGAGCGCCTCAGGAGTGAAGCCATCCGTCTCATGCGAGAGACCGACGAGAAGACTAGCCAGGGACAGAGAGAGGCGGGCCGCAGGATCGGCGAGAGGGTGACAGACGTCACTTTCTGGCGCAATGAGCTCAACACAGAGCTGGAAAAGTTGATTGCGGAGTCCGCCATTCTGGCGGAGACGAAGCGGTCCGTGCAGAAAGCCCTGGAGGACACTGAACCACCCCTGAATGTGGCGCAAGAGTGTCTGTACCACCGCGAAGGCAGACTGTCCATTGAGAAGGTCCACGACCATGTGGAGAAGAGCCTCCTCGTGGAGATTGACAATCTCCGCAATTCCCAGGAGAAGCTGAAAGCCCTGCATGACAAAGTGAGTGGATATGTTGTGAAGCAGTAATCAACTGTTCAGTGACAGAGACTAATGGGCGGGCTCTCGATGCAATCTATTGCAGAATGGGTGTAATTTGTAAGATTTTATGGGAATTCGTGATCAAGTGAACCTTCCTTCTCTCTTTAAATTAATCTCTCTCTCGCAAGATTTGCAAGCAGCTCTCCGACTGCAGGGCCGCGCAATTCGCCCTGGAGGACGACATCGCCCACAAAGAGTCCACCCTAGGCATCGACACCGTTTGCCACCAGCTCAGCAACTCTAGTCGCGGCATCAACTACTATGGCGGCATCGAGAAATACGATCCCACCGTGAGCACGGCCGAGACCTGGTCAGCGGCCAGCAGCCACAGGATCAACAGATCGCAGATGGAGCGCGGCAAGTCCTCCCAATTGCGCAGCGACGCCGAAGCTATGATGAACGCCGTGGCGACGGCGGTTTGGGATTGCTGGAGCAACTCAAACAATTCCCTGAACAAGCGCTCCTCTGAGATGATGGAGGCGAAAAATAGGGTGCAATTGCATCTGCACAAGACGCAGCAGGAGATTTTCGACATTGAGAAGAACATTGAGCTGCTAAGGAAGGCTGTTCAGGACAAGTCTAATCCACTGAAAGTCGCCCAGACGCGCCTCGAAGCGAGAAGTCACAGGAATGGCTTGGAAATGTGCAAGTAAGGCCTTATCTTTCACTGCTGTTTACAGTTTTTTCTTAAAAAAAACACACACACACAACATTTCCAGGGACATGGCGCATGTTCGCTTAGTCCAGGAGGTCTGTGACATCCAAGACTCCGTGACAACCCTTCATCGGAAACTACAAGAGGCCGAAAGTCAGCACCAGCAGCTGCTGAAGACACGCGCAAACCTCGAGAATGACTTGAAGAACAAGACAAACGCCTTATTTATCGATCGAGAAAAATGCATGGGCATCAGACGATCTTTCCCAGTGCACAATCTCATCAAGTACTGAGAGGAAAGAATACGAAATTCCGTGTCGCTTCTGCACATCAGGTAATGAGTCACAAAAGATCCGCGCACTTTGTAAGAGCATCGTGTTGTTTTTTTAGTCACCGTATAACATATTAAAAATTCCCGACAAATAAAACATTTCGCCTCGAATGGAACAGGCCTTTTTCCTCTCTCTCGCATTTTGCCATTTGTACGCGCCTCATTTTTATGGCTAAATTCTCTCCGCGAGCGGCACAGTAAATCTACCAACTGACCGATAAAAGGAATCACACTGAGAGTCTCAGAAGAAATACCATTGCAGCGCGGTGGGGAGGATATTGGGAAAACTCCGATGACCATAACTGGTGTTGACTGACGATCGCGACAAAATGCCATCAAAAGACTTCACCTTCCACACAATGCTGCGGATAAATTAAGCGGCGGAGAAGTCAATTAAAATGTTGCGGCGAATATTCAAAACACGGTCATAAAGACTTTTGAATTTGATTAAGCGATAGCATCTGGATCTGTGCGAAAGTGCGCGTCCCTGTAAACGCTTTCGGCAGTGTGATTCTGGACCGCCCTGAAGAGGAACACCTCGACAAAAAGTCATGCCATTGACTCTGCGCGTCAGTCAATTTGGGATTCTGAAATGTGCAATTTAAATGAGTCTCTCTGGACGATTGGAAATGCAAGAAATCAATGCTAATTGAAGAGTCAGAAATTGCATATGGATGAAATGTGTGTTTAAGACGAACGCGATCATCAATCCACCAGCGAAATCGTGGAAGAAACACTGAGTTGGAGATAAAGACGTGTATAGAGTATTTCGCGTGCAGGTGAAAAATCTCCCTAAATTGCATCTGACAGTCAAATTGCACACACAAAATACAACCCAATGTATAATCGTAAACAGATCAATTTTCATATATCAAAACATAATTGCAACCAGAGAACGCCAAAGCGATAAATTCACTGTGCAGTGTATGGAATGTACAATACAGAAATCAAATTGAGATATTGTCGTTAAAATAAATTATAATTGCCCGCTATTATTAATAACATTGCGCGTTGGCATATTTCTTGTACACAACGCTTGATGGAAGTGTGTAAAAAATATTGAGATATTTTTATTTTATCTCCCTTTGCGCCTCTTTTCACACTGAATATTTTTTCCTCCCCGCCTCCCGACACTCCTGATGGTAAATATGCTCCGTCCTGGAAGACGACGATCGTGTTCTTAATAGCGTACATCATCATAAAATAATTTAATGTCATTATTAAATATTTCTCTTGGACGCAAAATTCACGCAGCTTTTTTCCCTTGCAACATATTTAATCTGATCATCTTTTATTTATGTCCGAAAAATCATGTTGATAATTAAGCGAGAATTTCAATTTCTCTCCCCAGAAACACCAGATTCTTGCGTCACACACGCGGCAGATGCGGAAAATTGCGAGGTGGAGTAAAAAGTGCGGGGAAATATATATAGAGGAATGAAAAACCCGATTGTCTTTGGAATTCCGCCCTGCGAAGAGGCGTGGAAGTTTCGCGCATAAAAATAATCGATAATTCGTGACAGATAATTGTTAACTTCTAACAATATATGCCAGAGAGCGAAGGAGAGGAGGAGAAAAAAATCTTCTCATGGTAATTGTATGGTAATTTCCGAGGGATTTTCACTGCTCTGCTATTGCACATCATATATATTGTATGTATGAAGAGATGCTGAGATGAAGCGTCGTCGCAAGAATCAATTTGCACAAATTTAAATTGACGATCACAATCGATCGTCGGATCGTGTTGAGAGGACTTTTATCTATCAATGAGATCTCTCGCGGACTTCAACGTGGGCTCAATTTGCGCGTTCGCCCTAAAATCATGCACTGACAGGAGTATAATTTACCTATTTTTTTTCCTTTCCCCCCAAAACATTTAACATCCTCTCAACTAAGAATTTATCGCCGCAATTTTCTGTGATTTTCACATTGCCAGAGTGTCACAAAGGAGCTCATTAAAAATAGTTTAACACACTCGTCAAATTAGATCTTTGCGCTATGGTATTCTTAGATCTCACGCTTTCGAGTCCGCGCGCCTGAGAGAAAACACACCTTCCGGTCAATCAGTAAATTTTCATCTCATCCGTCTCACGCACTCTTTCGCTTCACGCCAAAGCCTCGGGTCACATTCTGCCTGTATTTTATTTCATCTGCACAGCATTGCAATTTTGTGCAATAATAGGCCAAATAGGGTGCCTTTTTATCGCAACACCTCAACGCCCAACGGCAATATTGACAAATAGCAATCAACTAGAGCTTCAGTGGCATCCAAAGCTGAGCTTTCTCAAAATGTGCCAAGTGAAAAAAAAAAGTTCTCTGAATATCGAACAATCAAGGCAGAATGCATAGAATATCATCAAACAATAACAATTCCACCGGAAGCGTGTTTGTTATAAGTTGTTTAGTAATCCCTTCATTATTTTAATAGTTTATAACAATATTTATGCAAAAGAACGCAATAAAATTTCATAACTGGTTTTTAATTGTCGAGAATAAAATCACCTCTGTTAACTATTTAGAATGAGATTGCGAAAAAAGGCAAGAATAAATAAACAAAACGTTCTCTCTAAATGCCCCTCTCGCCATATCCGCAATTAATCTCTCAGGTGATAGGTCATTCGCGACCGAGGCGCGTTTCATTACGCCAAACGAGATTGTTTGCGAGATGCTCAATATCTCATTGATCGATGGTTTTTTTCATCACATGCCTCATATATTGAAGTCTCTCTCAATAAGTAATTTATTGATCTTAATTGAAGAGATGAAAACCTAATCTGGTCGAGTTGAGAACTCAAATAAAAAGACGCCAATAAGCGGCAATTGAAGTGAATGGAAAACAAATCAAATAGCAAGAAAGAGGGAGAGAGAGAGAGCATTTAATGAGAAACGATAGCTATCAGGAAGTTCCTCGGCTCCCGCTGAACCTTTTCTTCAAAAAGATTGCACAGGCGCATAAATCCAAGCATGAGACGCGCGCAGGTCGTAAATTATGAGAAAATCTCTGGGGAATCCGCGAGATTAGCGCTAAGAGATCTTGTAGATGTGAGAATTTATGTGCAATTTCTAGACCATGTCATGATAAATTGTATCCCTCTGCAAATTTGCACAGATATTGGGCATATTCTTGTCAATCACACGTTTGCCAGCAAATGCACACACAAAAGTCCACACACCTGAAGGGAGGGAGGAGGATTTTAACAGCCGCGCGTGGGTTTATCGTAGGCCGATTTGTATAAGTCATCGTTTTCATTTAATTGGCCCTCAAGACAAAAAGCATTCAACGCAATTTTATGAACATGAAAATCTATTTGCTTGTCATTCAAGCCATCAAAATTTGCATTAGGCGCGCGAGAGAGTGAATGGACTTCGCGAGCGATCATCGCAGCGATCAATTGCACAAATGTAGCAAATCTCATTGACACCTGTCACGCGTATTTCCTCGCAACTTCTCACAAACTCCACAATCTCATCGACGCGGGCAATTTTCTCGGGCCAAACAGAAGTCACAACAGAAAGTCATGTTGTGAAATAATTGAGAGAGTCATTTGATGTGATCTCAATTGAATCCGAAGTGATTATGCTCTCTGATGGCGGCTTAATGTTTTTGGCCTCGATCGTTGCTTTAAATCAACTTTTGGACATAAAGCGATCCAGTCCACGTTCCTCGCGTTCCTCTCGCAACTCCACTTCTGATCCACTAATTTGTTCCTCGCCAAATAACTCAACTTCGCGATTCGCTGATGAGTTAATTCCTCCTCTCGCACTCTGCAATCGGGCAACAAAAAAAAAAAACTCTCTTAGCGGTACACTTGAGACACACACGGCAAAAATCGCGATCATCGAAATGCACGATTGCAAAATTGAGATAGTTGAGATGAAAAAACGCGTGTATAACCGCCAACCTTCATTGTGTGATATTCTCTGCACACACATCAGTGGAAAATATTCTCCAGCAATGTCATTTGAATAATATAACCCCAAGTCAAGATCATTATCGTTTGCTTCTATCTTTTTGCAGGCATTTTCAGCTGTTTTTCGCGCACATGAGTTTTCGTGCGATGGCGCAGAGAAAAAATCAATTAAAAACTGCTGTAAAGAAAAGCTCACACTAATGATGGGAGGAAAGGCACAATGTTTCCCATCATTGATCACCGTGCGAAGCGTGTTCTGACTCTGTGAAAATGCTAAAATTATTATTTCCCCGAACCGCGTCACTAAAATAGGAAATTGGGTGAGAATGTTTCACTGCTGGTTTTGGGCCCTGTTCAGCACTAAATGAAATCTGAGGTGTCACAAGAGATATGACAAAAATTTCTCCACACACTCGACGAAAAACACCGCGCAGGAGAAAAGCCTTCAGTCACTCTTCTTTTAAAAATATCACCTTGCCTTCACAACTGTGGCATTTTTATTTGCACCACTTTGGCCATTCTAAACTCTATTTTTCGCTCTCAGTCTCAAATTAAAATATTTATCGTTGGCTATTAATCACTGAAATTGCATCGCCCACCATTTAAACTTTTCTGCATCAATTAATTAACTTTGCCATTAAGATAAATAAACACGAACAATGAGAGAGTCTCACAGGTTTTTCTCTATACTCTGTCACAATTGTCGCCACTCGGAAAATCAAGAAAAATGTCTTTCGGTGGGCTTTTCCACGCACGATTTCCGTGGGTGCGTTTCTCACCCCCCACGAAAAGTGCCACTTGTCACACAATCGCTGCTGATCAATTTGCAATCAAATTAGTGTCTTTTCCCGCACGAAAAGTGGTCAATTTTTGCACGGATGGCGAATGAGAGGCGAACGCGGTATTATAATTAAATGTTTGCGTTGCAGAGACTGGCGTAGAACTGTGCTGAGCTTTTCAGACAAGTGGAATTATGTCAAATAACACTGCTGCACGATCTTGGCCTCGAGTGTGTGCGTCTCGTGCTGATATTCACCAACACTCACTCTGCATTGCAAAAATTCTCCTCGCGATCGCCAAGGGAACGAATATACACAATAATACCTGAGCGCTTTTTTCTCCTCTCTCTCTCTCTCTCTCTCTCTCTCTGTCCCTCTCCTATTCTCTCTCGATCACCTGTTCAGAGTCAGGTAAATCGAATACAT